CTTAGGCTTTAGGGCTTAGGGTTTCAAGTGTAGGAGGGCTTCGGGATTTATCCGTTGTAAGCGAAAGCTAACCCTAAACCCTGAACCCTAAACCAAAAAACGTGTGACTGTTTCTGCTGTGTTTCAGGCTTTAGGGATCGCTGGCTCGGGTTCTTAGTACCTCAAATGCAGGAGACAGCCTTCTGAAGCTCAACGAGCATCCATCTTGATCATCTTTCTATGGACGTAGTTCCACAAGCCCACCCGACCAGCGCCAGCATCGAGAACTTTGAATTTCTCCCAGCCCCAGTTTGAAGGAAAATTCGGGGGGTTGGGCGGCCGGTGGCCATCCATGTCCCAGTGTCTCAATCGCAGGTAGTTCTGAGATCGCTCGTTGTACCTTCGCTGTTTTCAGAGCGCAGACCATTCCATGCAATTGAAAGCCAAAAGCAGCCTCCTAAATCAAAACCCTAAGCCCCGCCAAGCACAAAACTTTAACTCCGGAAAAGCAAAAGCAGTCCCAGGCTGGAGATCTGGCGCAGGCCAACGACGGAACCAGGCACCAGGTAGGGCTTTGCTGGCACCTGGAGGTCCCCGGGGGTGCGTTTTTTAAATGGATTTCTGTCTAGTCTTTAGGGTTTAGGGTTGAGGCATTTCCAAGAGTCTTCACAACGGATATTGTTGCAATAAACACCGAATTCGAGGCGCGAGAAAGAATCTCTCATGGGTCCAACTTTCGGGCAGGGTGTCGCCCCTCTGCGAACTGCCATACATGCGTCCATTATCGTCCATGGAGACGAACCGTCGGTGGTGCCTGTTGTAAAGGCCCACCTCGCCATCTCCTGCCGGGTACGAAATACACACCCCGCCATGGCAAAAGCTGTGTAAGGAGGAAAGCTCGGTGCGATGGTACATCACTATCAGACCCTGGGCTTGGATGCGACTTTCTACAAGCCTGCGGGCATCTGCAGGCAGGTTCCCGATGGTGGCCTTCTGGACATTTCAGACTCGCAAATGACCTCTCCTCCATCGATGATCTCGAATTTCTCGTTTGTTAACGGTAACGGTTGACTCGCCGTTCTTCTTGACATTCACCGAGACGGAGATCTGGAAGTCTACATCATTTGACATCTCGATGGTTCCGGTGAGAACGCCCTTTCCAACCAGCTGGAAGACCATCTGCAGGTTTATCATGACGCCTAGGATAGGAGCACGGAGCCAGATCGGGAAGTAACACCCTAAACCCTAAACCAGTATAACATAAGATTAGATACTACACCATCTGCACAAGGACAACAAGAGTGGCAGCGCAAGGGAGTTTGGGTTAGCTTTCCTCTCCTGTTAGAGCTTACCATAAGGTAGCTTAATAAAAAGGATTTTATAACATAATATACTGTTTAGCATAGTATAATGGTGTAGTATAGTATAACATAGTATAGTATAGTATAGTGTAGTGTAGTATAGTATAGTATAGTATAGTATAGTATAGTATAGTATAGTATAGTATAGTATAGTATAGTATAGTATAGTATAGTATATAGTATATGTATAGTATAGTATAGTATAGTATAGTATAGTATAGCATAGCATAGTATAGTATAGTATGGTATGGTATGGTATAGTATATTAATAGTGTGTATATAGTATAGTATAGTGTAGTATAAAAAAGTATGGAGCGCGGATAGCTCCTGGGTCGGGAACTCGGTTGCATTGCAAACACGGTTTAGGGTTTAGGACTTATAGGGTTTAGGGCTTAGGGAAGGCTGGCAGATCCCAACATTCAGTCCTGGTTTAGACATGTAAAACCTACAAACATGCCCATGAGTTCGAGATGCAAAACTTCCCGGCACAAACCACCTTCGTGAGGGGCTTCTGCGGCGGTTTTCCATCTTTTCTCGGCACCGGTTCCGGCAAGCCTGGAACAATACTGGGGCGTTTCTGGGGTGTGGATTCATGACCCCTAAACCCTAAACCACTCATTCGAACACGCTATACCCTAGACCCTAAACCCCAACCTTCTGCCTAACAGAGGCCGGGAAGCTTCGTTTCAACGTGTAGCTGCAGCTGCCTTGCCCCGTAACGAGCGTGTCCTAGGACCCTTGCACGGAGCCGCTGATCTGAATCCTAGGCTTTTAGGGCCTTCAGGGTTTCGGGCTTTGGGGGCTTAGGCGTTAAAAGTTTCAGGGTCTAGGGTTCAGTGTTTGGGGCTGAGGTTTTAGGGTTCAGCGCGCTTAGGGGCTTTAGGGGTTTAGGGTTTAGGGTTTAGGGTCCAGGGTTCGGGGTTTTATTGTCGCCTTACGCCGATACTTTCCCTGTCTGTGACTTCACCAGGCTGTTCGGTACTTATTTAACCTGACACCTTTTATCCTCCTCCGGGTCGTACATCGGATAATCCAGCTGCCTTAGTCTTGCGAACTGGGGTTTGGGGGACATACGCTAGCATGATCTAGGATGGTTATTAAGGAACCATCAGGAGTCCTAAAGAATAGTTAAAGTTTGGTACTTATCCAGGCCTACATAGTAGTACTTAGAACCCGACGAAGGCCCAGGATCAGAGTGTCCCCGTTGTCTTTAACGGTGGCCTTGATGTCTGGGCTCCACTGCGTGACGCCATCGACAGCCACTTTAAGCTCAGTTTCGCACAGGCCCTCTGGCCTTGGTTTCTGCATTGCCTTCGCTCAAGATGGTCAAAGTCTTGAACGAGTCTCGGGTAATGCTGCATACAGTGTAAGGCTTAAGGTTTGGGACAAAGGGAGTAAGGGTTGAGGCTACTACCCACACCTCTCTTTCTGTTCGATGTTCAGAAACACACAGCCCGCAAGGGTTTTTGTTTTCTGAAACCCAGGTCTCCTGCAAGCCGTCCCTGCTTCTCAGTACGTCCTTGTACATCTTGTAGGGCTGTGTAAACTCACTTCCAGGCAGGAGTGTGGTCCCGCTTTTTGGGTCGCTGTCCTGCATTGCCTTGATACCAAATCCCTGGGAAAACTCGGAGGTTCTCGAGAAGACACACCGCATTTCCATCCTGTCGGTGAAGACCTTGACGTAGCTTCCGGCACTACAATCACACTCCCTCCCGATAAGCACTTGGCAAAGGGAGGTGGACGGCTTCAGACAGTTGAGGAAGCTCATCATCTCGCTCCAGAGTTCCTGCCCCAAGCCTGAAACCAGAGGCCCAACCTTGGCGACCTCCTCTCCAAACGCCCTTGCTTGGTCTGCGATGAAGCGACCCACCGCTTCGGCGATCTTCGCCCCTTGCTCGGCAGTTTTCTTCGCATGCTCCAGGGTGGTCTTCGCGAGCCTAACTGCCTGGGTTACAGCAATTTCTGCAACCTCACGGGTGGCGTCGAGCGTGATTTCGCCAACAGACATGGCATCATTCTCGATGCCTTCGGCAAACTGTTTCAAGTTTCTCAAGGACCCACCAAAATCATCAAGATCGTTCCACTTCAATTTCGGTGGTTCGACGACTCGATTCCCGACCACGACGGCGACGTTGGCCACAGCCGAACCGATTGTCTCACCTGAACTGGTCGTTGCTGCTCCCGCAGGTTTAAGGGTTTTTTCCGGCGTCTCATGTGTCGAGGTTTAGGGTTAAGGGTTAACCTAAACCCTGATCCCTCTTGTCCCTTGCCTTCGACAACGCTTCTTAATCGTCAGAAGACTGTGGAACCTCAAACGCGACCGTGGTGCCTGCATCTTGAAGCGCGTCGAACGTGCTTTGAAAGGCATCAACAAAGCCACCAAAGAACTGCCCCGAGAGTGACTCATCAAGATAAAGATCTTCAACGGAGGCGTTGGCGCGCCCATGCGACGCACTTCTGGAGGAACGGGCCAGCAGTGCGCTTTGCACATCTCCTGAGGACCCTTGCAGGTGCTCAGAGCCTGCAGTGTGCATATCGATGAGAGCTTCCGAACTGGTGTTCGACTCCTGTGCCAGGCCAAGAAAATGCGCAAGGGAGGCAGGGACAAACACCGCCGCAAGCTGATCCCTAAAACAAGAAGCTTCCAAACTTACTGCTGCTCAAACTTGACTGCTCCGACATCTCCCTAAAACACGAAAGCAGCCTGGACCAACTTCATTGCGGCAGCCATAGGGGTAATTGTCCTTGTCAGCATTGGAGGGCCCCAAACGTCTAACAGGTATGCTGGGTCGAGAGCGACGGACCAAAGCATTAACTGCATGCACAACCGCTCCAACATCAACGGCAAGTGGCGTAACAAACACCTTCGTTCCATACTGAAGGGTTCTGAAGAACGATACAAAGCCTCGCATGACGGAGAACCTCCTGCCTTCTGCCGCCGACAAAACTGAGTCCCACACCAAAGCATGGCCAAGGAAGCCCGCGCCGGCCACGACATTTGCTTCATTGGATTTAGCGAAAACACGGAGCTGGAAAAAGAAGGCTTTGTACACGACTAAACTTGGTTCCGGCCAATCCAGCTGCGGCCGGGTGCATGGAAAAATCTGCCAGGGATCGCGACATCCCTGACACTTGCAATAGCACGAGCCTGAGGACCAGAAAGCATGCTGTCAGGCACGTACAGGCGGCTTAAGTGCCGGAAGTGCCCAAAACTACTGTCGCGCTGACGCTGGCTGATGACGAGGACGATTACGATGATGATCACGACATGGCATCGATGTGAGTATCCCATCCTGCTACTGTGACTACTGCTGTCGTCGCTGGTTGGTGGCACTATGCTTCCTGCTGCTCTCTTGAAACGATTATTTCTGTTCACAGTGTCACTGCTCCTGCTCTCCAGGCAAAAGTTCACGATGCGCTGGCGTTGTCGACACCACCGTTCATCGCGCGCTCCCTTCAGCCAGCATGCCTTGATCCTCGCACTGCCCTTGCTCTTGCACCGGTGATAACGGTGATGATGAGGACGCTGATGCTGATGACTACGATGACGATGATGCTTTTTTCTGGCACTGAATATGGTGGGCATGATGGTGATGATGATGACGATGATGAACACTGATCGTGCAGATCACATTTATGATGTGGATGATGGTGCTGGTGGTGCTGCGACCACGTCGATCCAGGACATCTGGCGATGATCATTGCTGTCGCATAGCTACATTATACTGTATAATACTACAGTTTAACGTAAGATATTCAAAAATTGCTGCTGTTGTAATATTTTCATTTTTTATGGTGCACATAGCAGCCGATTCCCGGCTCCCGCCCAGCACTGCATCGCCGAACGGCAGAGAGTCCTCTGCGTCTCCCACCAGCCGTGGCCGCAAAGCCTCCTGCACTGCGGTGGAAACTCAAAAGTCTACCCTACACCCTAAACTACAAGGGGCCCTGGGTGTATGGATAGACCCTGTGATCTCAATGCACGATGTTCCGCTCATTTTCGGATGCAAGTGCCAACCCTAAGCCTAAACCCTACACTCCTAAACCGTAAGGAAAGGCTACACTCCGAATCCGCGACCCTAAAACCTGAACCCTGAACTGCGGCCCAGTTGCAAGGCTCAACACTCCGTCATCCAAGGCTACATGGGGCGAATCGCTTCGAGAAGTACAACGTGATCCGGGTTAAAGCCTTCAGGCTTAGGGCTTAAGGTTTAGGGTTTAAGGTTTAGGGTTTAAGGTTTAGGGCTTGAGGTTCAGGGTTTAGGTCTAAGTTTAGGTCTTAGGGTTTAGGATTAACCGGCTAAGGGTTTAGGGTTTAGGCTAAAAGGTTCCGTGTTGGAACTAAGGCTGCGGAGATGGTTCGAGCACACACAGCAGCACCAAACACATCAGTAACCTTTCCGGTTTAGGGTTTAGGGTTTCTAGGGCTTAGGGTTTAGGGTTTAGGGGGGTGCTTTTCTGAGGTGTATGCCGTGTATGCTGGCTTCTTGATTCGAACGTCTTCGCCTGCCCTAAACAGCTGAAGCACTCCCAACACGGTTCCTGCTTCCCCAAATGTTGCAATCGAGTGCAACCAGAGCCAAACGGCGAAGCACTGGTGCCTCTTTAAAGGCCCATCCATGTCTAATAATGTCATGGCATCTTCTGCGGACAGCAAAGCCACCCAGTACTCTGCTGTTCTGTGCTGGCATGCACCACCACCACCATGTCCTCGTCGTCAGCACAATGATAAGCATCATCACCATCGTGGGCATCATCACACTGTTCTCATAGGGACGAGGAGTGACAAGACATCCGGCCCTCTGGGTTTAAGCAGGGTTTCAGGAGGGTTTGGGGTTTGGGGGTGTGCCCACGCCCTGGCAACTAACTCAGTGATATCTGATTCGTACACGAAGCTATCATGTAGGGGCACCACATGCTGCAAGTATATGCATGACCATCAAAATCACAAGCGAAATCACCCCTTTTTTGCAGAACACCTTCCCGGCACGGGGATCCTCGTCCACTGCATTCTTGAAGTCTACCATAGAAGGATGATGCTGACCTTCAGCCGTTCCAAGTCGTCTAGTCTTCGTCTGGCGGGTCTTCGAGAACCACCACTTTGAAGATCTCACTCCCCCAGCCTGTCGAGAGATCCTGCAGGCTTTGGGGTGCGGACTTCGGGCCTCCAAACTTGGAAAGTACGTACTCGGCTCAAAAAGCTACGCGTGCTCCCTGCAAAGACGAAGACAAGCAGATCAACAGGTGCATGTACGAGCCTCTGCGCAATACGTGTACTAACATGACAGGTACTCGTCGCAATGATGATGACGGCCACGATGAGGACTGCGACTGTAATCATGCTGCTGGTAATGATGAAGCGGGAGAAGGAGCAGGAAGACGAGGAGGGGGAGGGGGAGGGGGAGGTGGAGGGGGAGGGGGTAGAGGAGAGGCGGAGAAGGCGGAGAAGGAGGCAGGAGGATGAGGATAAGAATCAGCATGAGGATCAGGATAGCCATGGCGACGGGCAGAGCGATGATGATGATGGTGGTGAAGATGATCCTGATGATGATGGCGGTGGTAATGGTGATGGTGATGGTGATGATGATGATGATGATGCGATCATGATCATGATGATGATAATGATATTGATGATGACGATGATGATGATGATGACGATGATGACGGTGGTGAACGATGACGACGACGACGACGGCGACGACGACCAGGGCGGCGATGATGCTGCTGCTGATGATGATGATGATGACGGTGATGACAACGATAACAAGGATGACGACGATGACGACGACGACGATGATGACGATGACGACGATGACGACGACGACGACGACGATGAGGATGATGATGATGATGGTGGTGATGGTGATGGTGATGATAATGATTATGATGATGATTATGAAGATGATGGTGATGATGATGATGATCATCATCATGACCATGATCATGACGAGGATGATGATGATGACGGTGAGGAAGAAAACGACGATGATGATGATGACGACGAGGATGATGATGATGATGATCATCATCATCATCACCATCGTGAGGATGCTCATTGATGGTCATGATGAGGATGAGGATGAGGATGAGGATGAGGATGAGGATGAGGATGATGATGATGATGATTGTGGTGGTGGTCATGATGGTGATGACGACAATGATGAGGAGGCGGAGGAGGAGAAGCAGGATGACGATGGCGGCGGCGGAGGCGGTCGTGGTCGTGGTCGTGGTCGTGGTCGTGGTCGTGGTCGTGGTCGTGGTCGTGGTCGTGGTGGCGGTGGCGGTGGCGGTGGCGGTGGCGGTGGCGGTGGCGGTGGCGGCGGCGGCGGCGGTGGTAGTGGTGGCAGTGGTCGTGGTCGTGGTAGTGGTCGTGGTAGTGGTAGTGGTAGTGGTAGTGG